TCAGGACTAAGCCTCTGATGGAACTCTAGCTGCTGCATACCTACCCTGGGACCCTGAATACCTACGTGGGACCCTGAGTACCTACTGTGGGACCTTTGATGAACTGATGGCAGTTCACTAAGGTCTCTGAGCCTCGGTTTCTCGTATAGAAAATAGTAAATGTAGCCCTAACTGGTTTGGCTCAGTGGATAGAGCATTGGCTTGCAGACTGAAGGGTCCCGGGTTCGATTCCGGTCAGGGGCACATGCCTGGGTTGAAGGCTTGCTCTCCAGTAGGAGGCGTGCAGGAGGCAGCCAATCAATGAATCTCTTTCATCGTTAATGTTTCTATCTCTCTCTCCCTCTCCTTTCCTCTCTGAAATTAACATATATATATATATATATATATATATATATATATATATATATATATAAATAATATTTTGGGTCTAGTAATAATTAATGTCGTTTTAAACATTCGTTTAAAATCTTGCTTGGCGTTGACTTGTATTGACATAACCTTCAAACACGTGGTATCTACAGAACGTGTGAAGTGCAATTAACAAGTTTTGCTTGAAAAAGTTTGTGTTTGGTTTGGTTTTTGTTGCAAAACTAGGGCTAAGAAGATGGCAGATGAAGAGCATATTCGGCACTGCATGCTTTACGAGTTCCAATTAGGAAGAAAAACAAGTGAGGCTGCAAAAAACATCTGTAGTGCTCTTGGTCAAGATGCAGTTAGCGCCAGAAAATGCCAGGGTTGGTTTGAGAAATTTCGCGAGGGAAATTTTTCGTTAGATGACAAGAGTGGTCGAGGCCGTGTGTCCAATTTTGATCAAGAAGCTCTTCAAGCTCTTTTAGTGCAAAATCCTCAAATTACCCAACAAGAGCTTGCGACAACTTTAAATTGTTCACAAAAAACAATTTCCAATCAATTGCGTGCACTTGGCAAAGTCCAAAAGTTTGGAAAATGGGTTCCTCATGAGTTGACCGACAACAACCGTAATCAAAGAGTCACAATATGCAGTTCGCTCCTCTCTCGTCAAAACCGTTTGCCGTTTTTAGAGCAAATTGTTACCGGAGATGAAAAATGGGTGCTGTATGTTAATTTGAAAAGGCGGCCTCAATGGTTGGACAAAAATGAGGCTCCGCAGCCCATGCCAAAACCTGACTTGCATGCGAAAAAAGTGATGTTGTGTGTTTGGTGGAATTTTAAAGGAATTCTTCATTATGAACTTTTACCATCTAACCAAACCATTACAAGTGCAGTGTATAGTGCCCAATTGGAAAGGTTAGCCCAAGCTTTAAGAGAAAAAGAACCCGCGCTGATTAATCGCAAGGGCGTAATTCTTCACCACGATAACGCACGACCGCATATTGCAAGAATCACTGCTGAAAAACTGCGCCAGTTGCAATAGGAAGTTCTCCCTCAACCTGCATATTCTCCTGATATTGCCCCTTCTGATTACCATTTGTTTCGTTCTTTGCAAAACTTTCTTCTTGGAAAAAGATTTAATAATGAAGAATGCCTCAAAAATGCATTGACCGAATTTTTGCATCAAAATCACAAGAATTTTACAACAGAGGGATTAAAATGCTTCCTGAGCGTTGGGCACAAGTAGTAGAAAACAACGGCAACTATATTGTTGATTAAATTTTGTTGTATTGTTTAAATAAATTCGATTTTTTAAAAAAGTATTAGAAAACGACATTAATTATTACTAGACCTAATACTTAATGTCGGTGGTTGGTTTAGCTAGAAATTTGCATTTCTTAGGTAAGAAAAATACCCTTGACTTTTTTTTTTTTTTTTAGTGAGCTGGTTTAGTTTAAAATCCAGGTGTTCTTGGACTCAAGGGACAAAAAGAAGCTAGTATTTTTGTTTTTTACCTTCCTTATCCTATATAATAAAGAGGTAATATGCAAATTGACCCTCATGCCGTCACAAAGATGGCTGTGGCCACAGTGGAGGCGGGGTTCCCGTAGGAGCCATAACGAGCAATCAGCAGGGACCTGAGGCTACGTGGTGCTGGGCTGGGGTGAGAGACCTCAGGCTGAGCCTCCCGCCCTGGCACCGGGACTGGGGACCTCGGCCACAACCTTCTCCTCCACCCCGGTGCCAGGCCAGGGGACCTCAGGCCCTGCCTCCCACCTGGCAGTGCTTTACGGGGGATGGAGGGAGAGCATAGGCCATGCCCTTCGCCCCAGGCCAGGGGACCTGAAATTGAAACCCCCCTGCCCAGCAGGGCTTGACGGGGGTGGGACCGACCAGGTCTGGGTCTCGCAGGATTTCGAAGCCCATGCAGATGGGTGGGGACTTGACTCTGGGTCCCATGGCGAGCCCCAGACTCTGACAGGAGGGAGATTTTCATATACATTTTACTAATTTTCTTTCATCTCTGATACTTCTATTATAGAGAAAGGGCAAATGGCAATATTAAATTATTTCCTCTAATTAATCCCCTTTTACTGTGCACAAATTTTATACACCAGGCCACTAGTTGTTAATAAATTCTTTTGGGTGCTCATAGTCTGTAGAATTTTGTAGTAGGCAATTAGAGAAAGTGAAAAATTATGTTCCTGGCTTCTAGTTTTAAGGAAATTCCACCTTAATACTGTTTTTTTGGCGCCCAAACCCAGGATCACCAAGATACTCTACTCATAGCAGCTCCTGTTGATTTTGAGCCCCATTTCCAGTTGGGCACATCTCAGTGTCCTGTCCAAGCCAGAGGCTGAGTGGGCTGCAGTTTTTACTAGAGTGATAGTAATAATTTATTATTCAAACTGGGAGCTGCTCTTAATGATTTTGCCACAACAACAGACATGACCCAGAGCCATCCTGGGGACAAATGAAGTGTGTGGTCCCCCTCAGTACAAGTGTTCTCCTCTTCGTCTCCCTGTGATGACCCTCGTTAAGATTTATGTGGCACCGTATTCATTTGCTCTTTCACTCAGCGCATGTTCATTGAGTATTTTCTACATGCTGGTTCTCTTGATATATTACCTTGTTTTCTCCTAGTGAGAACCCTGAGAGGGAACAATTGTTATTCTTATTTTTAGAAATGGGGGGGGGGGGAGGAGGATTGGGACTTTGCATATTACTTTCTTACAATCACAGTGCCAGTACACTGAAGAGCTAAGATCTGAATCCAGACAATCCCTACTCTAGAGCCACGTGCTCAAAACTGCATTGAGCCCTGGCTGGTTTGACTCAATGGGATAGAGTGTCAGCCTGCGGACTAAAGGGCCCCAGGTTCGATTCCGGTCAAGCGCACATGCCCGGGTTGCGGGCTGGATCCCCAATAGGGGGCATGCATGCAGGAGGCAGCCCATCAATGATTCTCTATTGTCATTGGTGTTTCTATTGCTCTCTCCTCTCCCTTCCTCTCCCTGGAATTAATAAGACATACTTTTTTAAAACAACAAAACACTGTAATGACATCGAGCAGTCGCGCTGGGTGGGCACACACCCGCAGAGGGAATGTGAGGGCATCCCAGACCTCTGCCCAGGACTCAGGAACAGGGCACAGCCTGACTCCTGACTGGAGGCCTGCCTGCTCCTCTCTCTGAACCGGGACACAGGGCGCTGCGGAGCTTTCGCAGTCATCCCAAGGGCAACCTTCTCTTTTTGGTGAATTTGTAAACGGCCCCTAGGCACCGTCAGCCTGCGGCAGGGTTCTGCCCCGGACAGTTACACAGGAACCTCAGTGCTCCTGCAGGATGGGAGGATCCTCAGGCTCTGGGCTTAAGTGGGATGCCTTCTGTAATTGTGTGTGTGTGTGTGTGTGTGTGTGTGTGTGTGTGTGTGTGTGTGTGTTTCCCCTGAGATGCTGTGATTAACAACTCGGGAAGGAGTCTGGGCCGGGAGGCTGAGAAGGGGAAGGCTGAACTGGGCTGAAGGGGTCCCTTTGGGACAATTGGCTGCGTTTCCTCATTTCATTGTGACATTCATTTTGGGAAACTTTACAAGATGCCCCCTCCCTGTCCCAGGAGGGTGATCTCTTCCATTGATGCAAGCTCGGGAGGGACCCAGTCCTCAGAGGGGGATTAGGGGCCCGGGCTGCAGGGTCCGGTGAGGGACCCAGTCCAGCCCCCCAGCCCCCCCTGGTGATGATCAGCAAAGCAGATGCTGCAGATGGATTTGCTATGTGTTGCGATATGCACACGATGCTTCTTGTGTTACTTTAATTGAACCACTGAACTTTTAAAAGACAAAGAGCGTTATCACAAAACATCTCCACGTATAAAAGAATAAATGAGCTTGCGCTTTAAGGAGTCTCTCGAGCCGGCCATTCTGCGGGCGTCGCGGAATGTGGAGCTCCTAACGAGCGGCAGCAGCTGAGCCGGCTGTCCCGGGAGCACCGTTCACTCCGGGCATTGGAGGGTACGTTCTGCCTCCTTGTTATTAGAGCGCTTAATGCTCATACTTGGTTCATTCTCTCTCCGTCGTCTTTTTCTAGGTGCTAACAGCTAGCAGAGCCCATGGGGGTTGCACGTCTTACGATTAAGAACGCCGCCTTCTAGTAGATGAATGAGCTTAGACGTTTTCATGTCCGTTGGCCCTGTAATTCCACGTCTAGTTGTCTATTCTAAGAGTAAAAATCTGAGCACGCACACAGAAAGTTAGGCAAGAAGATAGTGATCGCTACACTTCCTAATAGCAAAGAAAGTCGCAGTGTAATTTTCCAACAATAGGGATGGAGAGAAGGAGTCCTACTATCTGGCACCAAGAAGGTTTGACTTTGGGTGGTGGGCACATGGTGCAGTATGCAGCTCTGGTAACATAGAAACCCACTCCTGAACCTGTATGTTCATGTTGCCCACTGTCACACCAATATATTAAATTTAAAAAAAAAATAGGGATGAGATATTGAACATGAGGTAGCAGCTAAAGGCTCATTAGGCATACCTCGCAGAGGCTTTCATGGTAGCTGTTAGCACCTGGTTAATCGGAGCGGGTAGATTGATGGAGAATGACCTGTGACCTGTGAGGAATTTCACGTTCCTGCCTCTGTTGTCTTCAAGTGTTTTGCTGTGCGCTCCCTGGGATGGGTGGAAATGGCAGAGGAGGACCTGGCCCCCGGGAAAAGCAGCGTTGCCGTCAACAACTGCATCAGGCAGCTCTCCTACTGCAAAAACGACATCCGGGACACGGTCGGCATTTGGGGAGAGGTGAGTGATGCGAGGCGACGGTGAATGGCAGGACCAGTTCCCTCCCGCTGTGCTTCGTGGAAGCCGGAGCCCTGGGGGACCTGGTCCCGAGGGGCGACGGGGGTGTAGCAGGTGCATTTCCCCACAGGGACAGGTGATGGAGGCAGGAGTCCCACCTTTCCCCTGGAGATTCAGAAATGTAAATAATGAAGAATGAGAGCCGGCGAGAAACAGGCCCGGGACACTTTCCAGAGGACTTGGACAGGGAGAGACATGGGGATGGGAGGCAGTGTGGAAGACTTACAAATTCTTTACTCAGGAGAGGGTCTCTCCCCCTTTAGGAGAACAAGTTCGAGACCACGGGGTGGCTTCTTCCGCTCGTTGAAAGGACACCCAAGGCCAGTGGCCGGCAAACTCATGAGTCAACAGAGCCAAATATCAACAGGACAATGATTGGAATTTGTTTTGTTTTTTCTTTTTAAATATATTTTATTGATTTTTTACAGAGAGGAAGGGAGAGAGATAGAGAGCTAGAAACGTCTATGAGAGAGAAACATCGACCAGCTGCCTTCTGCACGCCCCCTACTGAGGATGTGCCCGCAACCAATGTACATGCCCCTCACCGAAATCGAACCTGGGACCTTTCAGTCCGCAGACCGACGCTCTACCACTGAGCCAAACCGGTTTCGGCGACAGCCACATTTCTTACTTAAACTTCTTCTAACGCTCCTTCCTCACAGTAGACTCACCCAGGCTGTGGTATTTTGTGGAAGATCCGCACTCAAGGGCCAAAGAGCCGCCTGAACCATGGCCCTAGGCGGCCGCAGACAGGGCGAGGGCGGGCGTGTGCGCTGGGGAGGAGGCTAACGTGCTCTCTCCGGCTCCAGGGCAAGGACATGTACCTGATCCTGGAGAACGACACGCTCAGCCTGGTGGACCCCATGGACCGCACGGTCCTGCACTCGCAGCCCATCGTGAGCATCCGCGTGTGGGGCGTGGGCCGCGACAACGGCCGGTGAGTGTCCGGGCGGCCGCCGTCCCCTCCCCGGGGCCCGGGGGGGGGGGGGGGGCTCCATGCCTGCTGCTGCTCTTCACTGACCGTGCAGTGACGGCAGACTTCCTTCAGGAATATAAAACATGACCGCTGGTTTCTGTCCCTGCCGCGGAAGCCCTCCACGCCGCTTCCCTCCTGGGTTCAGTGCCTCAAACCTTTGGTCCGTTCTGGATGCTGCCTTGGATTTCTGCGTGTTTCTCCTCCTGCTCCTCATCCTCATCCAGCGACGTTCCCAACGCACCAGGCTCCCTGAACCCTCACTTCTCTTCCCCCCTGCTCTGCATTCTGTTTTAATCCTCCACTGCATTCTGTTGAGTCTGGGCCGTTGGTTCCCCATGTCTCCCCCTGGTACTTTCTCTGTGGAGGCTTGGGTGGGGGAGCAGCCTGCGTGTGGGGTGTAGCTTGTGTGGGGAAGCAGCTTGCATGAGGGAGTAGCTGCACAGCCTTTGTCACCACCTTCAGATCCCTGAGTCATGATCCTTAATCACCAGGAACTCCTGAGGCTTGAGGTGGCTGAACCTTTTTAACACTTGAAACATCTGGTCATATCAAATCTCATTCAATGCATCTTTTTCTGAAATTCTGAAAATGTGTGGTCGACAGAGGTGCTTCTTACTCAGGTGTGTGGTGAATTTCTTGTCCTCCAGGCTGACTGGAAGTTCTGATTTTCATTTTCATATTTTATCTAAAAAGTGACCGTTATCACAGACGTCGTGTGGATGCCACTGTTCAGCACCTGGGCTACCTCAAAGGCTCTGAACTCTTGAATCACAACTGACCCCTGAGCAACGCCGGCTTGAACTGCTGGGGCTCACGTGTTGGACCCAAGTAGTTTAAACCCATGTCATTCAAGGAGCGGCTGTATTCTCTATCTGTGGCTGGAAATTGGAGTGTGTGGGTGCCCACTGAACTTAGATGTGGCTTTTCCACACTGCTCAGAAGGTTGGTGGCCCTAACCTCTGCGTTTGTTCCAGGGTCAACTGTTTATTTAGTCTTTGGCAGCTCTCAGTGTCCCTGAGGCCCTCATAGCTTTTTGGGATGCGCTATAGGGTGGTTAGTTACTGCATTGTGGAAATGGGGTAAGAACATTGTCAACACGGGTGAAAATCCCAGACAGCAGCGAGGCGGCTATCCTGGTTAATCGGAGCCGGTAATCCTCTCTAAAACTCTGTCTCGGGCTGCCGCTGCCTCGGTTCAGTTGCAAGTTCTACGCCAGAAGGGAAGATGGTTAGGCATCCGTCGATAAAAGTACAAGCATTCTTGCTGAAACCAGACTCGAGAAATGGTCTCCACAAGAAAGGGGAGGTGTCCTCTGACTGCTGGTGGGATAATCCTTCCGGGAGCACGGTTGTGCCTGAGCTTCCGTTAACGGAGTGCCAAAGGGTGGCCGCTGGGCCAGGTGCTTTGAGGGGAACGAGTGGGTAGATTAAGTGAACACACCTGCCATCCACTCGCTCGCCAGCGCTGTGGCACGGGAGTGGATGCCCGACACGAATTGATTAGTTTTACAAGGGAAATACCTGATAATGTTTGCTCAGCATTAAAAGCGTTTAGCCTTGATGGGAGACTGTAAGATACTTGATCCTTCCCTGGTTCCTGTCCTCCAAGCTTGTTGGTTAAGGCAGGAGCCAAGGTGAAGATCATTGTAAACACACACAACGAGGTGGGGCTGTGTTGTCTTAAGGGCACGTCGTGAGCGGGTTTCCCTGATGAGGCTTTCAGCCCCGTCCGATTCTTTAAAGTGAGGCCAAGTGCTCCATGTTCAGGAAGAAAAAAAAGACATTCAAACTCCAGTTGACTGAATTATTTAAGCTCTGAGCCTCAGTTCCTATCTTCTTTGAAATTCGGATCATAATGAGGACCACAGAGCATGGCATGCGTGCCTGTGTGTGTGTACAGTAGCTGGCACCTTGATGGGGATGCGGCAATGCTTAGTGGGTGTTCGCTCCGGATTTGTGAAAGCCCTAACGGATGCAGCTAATTACGTACCTGGCCTCCTTTCAGAGACAGGGAGGAGCCTGGCCTCAGGGAGGTTTCAAGAGCAGCTTATTATGTGATGCAAAGGGGAGAGGCCAGACATCCTAAGAAGCAGGAAGAGAGAGCCTCACCTCTGCCCCCAGGGGTGTCAGTGTAAGTTAGGTCACAGTGACTTGGGTATGTCTTTGAGAGGTGGGCTGGGTTACCCATGTTTTTTAAACCGCTTATTGCTCATTGTTAGCAGATAAGTGTTGTTTAGAAACTAGAGGCCCAGTGCATGAAAATTCATGTACTGGAGGGGGGTCCTTCAGCCCGGCCTGCCCCCTCTCACAGTCTTGGAACCCTCAAGGGCATCAAGGGAAGGTGATGCCTCATCATACCTCTGCTGCTGCCACTGCCGGTAATGTAAGCCTTGGCTGGCCCTGGTTACCTGAGCCTTAGGCGGCCCTGGGCAGCTGGGTAGCCACCATCTGAGGCTTGCCTGTGCCTTTGGCTGGCTCTAGGCAGCTGGGGAGCTGAGAGGACTGGGCACTGCCATCTTGTAGCTGTGGGTGCTGCCATCTTTGAGGGTATGGCAGTCAATTAGCATATTCCCTTCTTATTTGCTGTTGTTACCGCCATCTTTGCGACGGCCTGAGGGTCTATTAGTACATTCCCCCTTTATTATAATAGATAGGATTGTTGGTGAGTTGTTTTTTTGTTTTGTTTTTTTCTCACCATTTATCCCCTGTGCCCTCTTCCACCTCCACCCACCCTACCCCCTACAATTACCACACTATTGTTCATGTCCATGAGTTCTCTCCTCTCTCTCTCTCTCTCTCTTTTCTTGCTCAGTTCCTCCAACTTCTGTAATTTAGAAACTCGCTCAGGGTTCCCTGTCGGTTTTCGGGATCTGAACACGCTCATGTGCTGGTTGGGGCCTCGGGCCAGATCGCAGCAAATAAAAATGTATGTTTGCCAGTGAAAGATTCTGTTTCCCCCATTGGTCCCCGGAGTTTTCATTCCCTAGAAGAAGGGGCTTTTGCATTCCTGCCTTTTTTTTTTTTTTAACTTTCTTTTGCTTTTGATTTTTTAAATTTTTTTTTACAGCCATGTACAAGAGCAAATTCAATTCACAATGCCGCAAAGGGAAGGGGTTGGCGCTTTGCATGAATAAAACATAAAAGTGTTTCATTTTGCTTGTGGAAACAAGCCTATTTCTCATTCTCTTTTGTGGCTTTCCTTGCCCAGAGGCTGGAATCTCCTAGGGGACTCTTGACGTGGATAACGTGGAGAAGGAGTGTGTGTATACCCGAGGCTGGAAGGGCACCAGTCCCCCTGAAGTTCAGAGTGCTTTACTAAGCCGTGCGATTTCCGAATGTAGCCGTCACTTTGGGTTTAGCATATTCTTTGGGCCTGTGCTGGTAAAGGTCGCCGTCCTTCAGCAGCCGCGGCGGCTGTCACAGCACCGTGCACAGTGCTTTCTGAAAGGGCTTTCTCCCGCAGTGCGTGTCCACCCGGTGACACGGCTCCTGGTCACAGTCTGAGGAACTAAAACTCTCCTCCCAGAAGGCGTTGCGTACACTTCTTCTGTTTTGTTTTGTTTTTATGAATAATGTTTAATAAAGTTTTGCCATGTCATAGAGCATCCATAAACTTCCAAATGAGTTTACCTTTCATTGTTTTATCTGGTTAGGATCTCGGGGAACGTTTACCTAAAGAATATAGTGCCGCCGAGCCGAAACCGGTTTGGCTCAGTGGATGGAGTGTCGGCCTGCGGACTGAAAGGTCCCGGGTTCGATTCCGGTCAAGGGCATGTACCTTGGTTGCAGGCACATCCCCAGTAGGGGTGTGCAAGAGGCAGCTGATCGATGATTCTCTTTCATCGATGTTTCTAACTCTCTATCCCTCTCTCTTCCTCTCTATAAAAAAAAAAAAAAAAATCAATAAAATATATTATTAAAAAAAAAAAAGAATATAGTGCCGCTGAGCCGAAACCGGTTTGGCTCAGTGGATAGAGCGTCGGCCTGCAGACTGAAAGGTCCCAGGATTCTGTTCAAGGGCATGTACTTTGGTTATGGGCACATCCCCAGTGGGAGGTGTGCAAGAGGCAGCTGATCACTGATTCTCTCTCATCGATGTTTCTAACTCTCTATCCCTCTCTCTTCCTCTCTGGAAAAAAAAAATCAATAAAATATATATATTTTTAAAAATAAAAAAAGAATATAGTGCCAAGCGTGCAGAATACCTTCCCCTACTCTCTGCTCCTAGGATATTTCCCAGCTGGCTTTTTTCCCCCCACAAGCCCCTGGTTTAAGTTGTTTAGAGGCTGGGATCAGCAGGGCGTGACTCCCCTTCGGTGGCCTGTCTGGAGGGGCAGGGCATATGCATACCCCTGGGACCTCCCTCTGTCCAAAGAGGACGCTCCCCTGTGAATCCCGACAAGACATGAAGGATGGTCTGAAATGACCGGGGGCCTGAGGGGACACCGAACTCTGTGGCCTGTCCCTGGCCTTACGGATCTGGCTTCCTAACTGAGAAAAGACACAGGTGTGCGCTGAAAGCAGTGCCGCTTCGTGGAGCTGCCCTTTCTGTTCAGCTGTGCCCACAGCAGGCGACACCCGGCTCTCGTGCCAAGGAGACGTCCTTGCTAATGGGTAGACGTTGGCAGCGACAGAGGGCAGTTCTGTGTCAGGTGACAGGGATGTAGAGACAGCGGGCTGCTGGGCTTTGGAGTTCATCTGAAAGTTGTCGCTATTTCTGCCTGGCTGTTGTTTCTTTTCCTAGGTGTAATGGCCAGGGAGGGGGAGGGCGGGAGTGGGGGGGCGCGGAGATAGGGTCTCTGCGTAGAGGATGGGGACTTTGTAATGACATCCAGTCAGAGGGTGCTCTGAGCCAGACAGTAATGAATGATGGATGGCTTCCAAACCCGCTGATGGAAGTTTAATCCGGGGGACGGGCTGTCCTGCCTCAGGAGAAGGGTCCTCAGGGACACGGCTATCATT